TACAATTCAAGAGGAAGATATAACCATCATAAATATATGTGTGCTAAATATCAGTACAACCAACTATATAAAACAAGTATTAATGGATATGAAAAAATCAAATAACAACTAATGCAATTGTAATGGAGGACCTCAATATGCCACTGTCACAAATAGATCAATTAGATAAAAAATCAACAATGAAATATCAGAACTGAACCAAACTTTTGGACAAATGGACTTAGTAGATGCTACACTTCACATTAAAATACATATACTTCTCAGCTGCACATAGAATGTTCTCCAAAATAGATCACATACTAGTTCATAGAACATACTTAAGTAAATACAAAGGAATTGAAATTATTCCATGCATATTATCAGATTATAATGCAATGATACTGAAAATTCATGACAAAAGAAACCACAAAACTTCATAAACACATGGAAACTGAATAATTCCTTCTTGAACAGGCACTATCTCACAAATGAAATTAAAAGAAGAACTTAGTTTTTAAAATTAATTGATAAAGCCAATACAACATACCCAAACTTTTGGGATGCAATGAAAGCAGTCCTATGAGGGAATATTATAATGCTGAACTCCCACTAGAAAAACAGAGAAAGCCAAATAAACCACCTAATGCTGAACCTCTAGTTTGTAGAAAAAGAGCTCATATAAGAAAGGTTACAAAGATTAGAATAAAATTAATGCAACTGAGATTAAGAGAACAACATAAAGAATCAATAAGCTGAAGACTTGTTCCTTTGAAAGATTTAAAAAAATTGACAAATCTTAGTGCAACTTACCATAGAGAAGGAAAAACTGTGAGTCAGTGGCAGTTGTGAGGTGCAGGGAGGAGAAACAAGAAACCAACCCCTTTCTGTGAGCCAGCTGCTGAGTGGGCTGGCAGACAAGAAAAGCACCACTGGTTCCACAAGTAACCAGATGATTCAGAGAAACACAGGCTAAGATGATTAGCTACTGAAGTAAAAACAAACAAACAAAACCCCCATAACTTAATACTTGTATTGTTTGATTAACTTTGCAGACCTAAAGCCAGTAGTCTGAGCATCTATTTGGAGGATAACAATATGCAATATAGTAACTATGGGGGATTCCTTTCTGAAGGTGGTAGCTATTGTTAATTCCTTATTATCTTGTTTTAAAGTCCTGTATTATTTTTACTGCTTTGTTTTGTTTGATTTTATTATATCTTATGGCATGGCAGCTATTCCAAAGATAAGATATATTATGGTAGCCATTGTTGATTTTCTATTATCTTGTTTTGAAGTCCTGTATCTCTTTCATTGTTTTGTTTTGATTGGTTTTGCTCTTTTCTGTTTTATTTTATTATGCCTGACGGTATAGGCAGTTATTTTCAAGATAAGAAGAAGTATTATGGTAGCCATTGTTAATTTCCTATTGTCTTATTTTGAAATCCTATATCATGTTCACTGTTTTGTTTTGATTGTCTTTACTCTGTTTTATTTTGTTTGGTTTTATTCTTTTAAAATAAAAAAGACTCAAATCTATGCAATTAGGAATGAAAATGGTAAAACAACAACAGATCCTGCAGAAATCCAGAAGATCATCAATATCTACTTCTAATAAGATGGAAAATGCAGAAGTTGACAGATTCCTAGATACATATGAATTTCCAGATGAATCAAGACAAAAATTCTATATAAATCAATATCAGTTAATGAAATTGAAGATATAATTAAAAATCTACCAATAAAGAAAAGCCTAGGTCCTGACGGATTTATTGCTGACTTTCACAAGAAATGTAGAACTGCTACTTCTCAAACTCTTTAATAAAATTGATAGAAAAGTAATAATCACAAATTCAGCAAGACTTATTTTGATACTAAAACCAGAGAAAGATCTAATCAAAGAAGAGAATTATAGATTAATCTCCCTAATGAACACAGACACAAAAAATCCTCAATTAGATACTGGAAAATAGAATACAGCAAATAATCAAGATATTAGAAAATGAGAATAAAATGTAGAAATGGCAAGGGGAACAAGGGAGGTGGGAGAGGGAAAGGAAAAAAGAGACAAGAAAAAAAGAATAAAAGAAAAAATGGAAACAAAGCTTTTATAAATAAGGAGGGCAAAAGGGAATAAAGGGATGGAAGGAGAATGTGAAAAAAAGAAAAAGCAAGATATATCAGGTACAGATACAAATTCCCCATTATGTACATCTAAGATGTACCAGTAAAATAAAAAATAAATGATTAAAAGTAAAGAAACTCCTGGAACACCCTGAAAGGGTGGCGTATGTGACTCTGTGTATGTATTTATGTTTTAATAAAAAAAATCAATTTTTTTCTGGTTTTAGAGAACATGAGGCTTGTTGCATAGGTTCCATCTACTCTAAAAACCTATACAGAAGAGAGATTTCTTAATTGACAGAGGAAGGAAAATGATCCCAAACAATTGTTCTGGATCCAGGATAAAATGACAAAAAGAATCTCAAAGTAGGAGGTCTGGAGGCCATAGAAAAGGACATCTCAACAACTCTACCTGACTGTATTGTAAAGGCTGGACATTGCTTACAAAAACTGGAAGCCATCCCATCTCTGAACTGACTGAGCAGATGACCCTGGTCAAGAAGAATGAATTTTACAGCAGGGATGGAAGGGCTGCTGGAGAGGAGAGAGCATAAACACATGGAAAGAACACCCAGGAAGTTGAGAAATTGCCATCGATGATATAATTTAGATTTGGACAGAGAACAGCATGCCTGAATGTCTCCAGCTCTGACCTGTCTGATGCAGGTGCAGAGTTAGTGGCTTCCAGGTGTCCCTGCAGCTGGGTGGCTTCTGCCCATGCCAGCTGCCTCTCTTGGTGACTGAGACCTGGGCTCCTTCACATGTACCACTTACACGTGATTTAACATGACTGCGGCAAACTTGGCTGTATTATCGTGCCCATACTTCTAGTTTTGGCTTTTCTTTCTTTTCTGTCTACTCTCTCCTTTCTGAGAAATCCCTAGTGTTCTAGGGATGGAAAGGTCAACTTATAATGGGTAAACTATACAATACAAAATTTAGCTTTGCTCCCAAGTCCTTCAATAATCACTTTTAGATTTTTGCTACATAAAGTGGACAATTCGAGACTTGGGCTGTTTCTGTACGCTGCTGGCCTAAGTTTTTATGAAGATAATAAGTAATGATTCTCCCTGATGATTATGTGATTGTGGATGTGACTTGCCTGTGCCTATGCATGTTAAGAGGGTAAGCTAGAAAATACTGGGAGTTCTTAGAAAGTCTTTCCTGCTTCACACAGGAAACACTTCATGGGGACATGCAAACATCTCCATTGCCAAGGATATGCAGGAAAACTTCATCCATGTAGATTCCAGATGGTCACCAGGAAAGAATGAAGCTGAAAGCAACCTCAGAATCATCCATAAGCAATGATTATGAATCAGGCATGGTGGTGCATGCCTGTGATTCCAACTCCATGGGGGGATGGGGCAGAAGGATTACAAGTTTGACCCTAGCCTGGGCAACTCAGAAAGTTAGCAAGACCCTGTCTCAAAATAAAATAAGTTTTTAAAAAAGGGCTTGGAATGTAGCGCTATACAAAAGCGTTGTGCTCAGTGCAAACATTTTAGAGCTTTCAATGATAACAAATAGCTCACTGAATCACCTATGCCATAGGTTTGGCACCACTGGTTGGATTGAATTCCCAATACTACATATATATATATAACTTCTTTAAGAATCTCTGGTAGGACAATTAAATATTATAGTTTATACACATTACTTTAAATTAATTGTTATGTTAATCAGAGCAACCTATTCTTCCTGCATTAGATTCTGAACTCTATTAAGTCATACTTCATAGCCTTTTTCAAGTTATTTTATGTACTTCATTATCTTCAAAGAACAACCCATAATTTATTTTTGTTAATTCAACCAACGTCTTTCCCCAATGTACAATCATCTCAAGGCTTTGTCTCTAAAATAGTTAACATATGGTAGTTATATAAAAAGTGATAGCAATATAAACAAATATCAATATAAGTTGCACATAAATATAAAATGACATTCCGTATCTATTATCCAAAAATGTAACAAAAGACAAAACAAGACAAGACACAGATTACTTTTAGTGATAGAAACTCTGACGTTAAACACATGGAAGAAACAAGCCTGTCCAAGAACACTGATATATCCTGCCAGGAAGCCCATTTTTTGCATCCTGAAGGGCTCTCAAAATACTTCCTAATAGGTTTCCTGGCTTTGTTAATCCTGCTCATCATACACAAAACTGATCTGACAGAGCATTATCAGTCCCACTCTTTCAATGAAATACTTCAGAAAGCCATCTCAAAGCCACATGCATTTGAGAAGGACTGAAATGGTGATTTGCAGGTATGTTTATGGGCATCTGATTGGAAACCAGTTGCCTTCTCTGCCCTGGGGTTATTTGTGCCATCTCAGCTGGCTTCCAGAACAGGCCACATGCAGGAAGAGGCTCCAAGAGCTCAGTTAAAAGTCACAGGACTACAGTGCCATCATGGGCCAATGACCTCTGTGACCTCATCCCCAGCCCCTCTGGCAGTGCCCAGGCAAAGGGGTGAAGAGCAGGGGTCGGGCTGAGGGAGGAAGCGCAGCTGTGCTGTTTCATCCTGAGAGACATAGAATCTCTCCTGGATTAGGGACCTTCGTGTTCCTGGATGTCATTATCTCAGCAGCTATGACTGCAAATGCTATTAGCAGTTAAAATGCACATTACGTTATCTGGCCCCTTCTAAAACCTCATCAGATCATTTATCTTTTAGATTCTCATAGCAACAAGTTCTGATGGAAAATGCACATTTGTCTCAATCGTGCTTCTATAAGAGGATTGCAGTCGATTAACCATGTCGGTAGGGAGGGGAATGACTCCATCCCAGGCCCAAAGAATTAAAGTGTGCAGAAAACTACACTACTAGTTTCCTTATTGCATCATAAAATGCCAGACAAATAGCGACAGCACATTTTCAAAGCAATGAACTTACTTTCAGTGCAAATCGGGCAGCATCCTTTTCTGTTGAGAATTTTACCCTAAGCAGGAGAAAAACAAATACAGAATTAATGCTAAAAACTGCTGAAGACAAAGTTCTTTTTTCAAATGTAATACCAGATAAATCAAGGAAATCAGGTCCAGCTGTGTTTGAACTCAGCACCCAAAAGGTGCTGCTGATGGTATAGTGAGGTTTCAGGTGTTCAGTTCTGAGGCCAGGCCTGGTCATTCTGAAGGCCTTCCTGTTTGTGTCCTCTGAGAAGTGTGAGGCCTATCTCCTGTCTTTGTTTCTGCAGTCTAGGTGTCAGGCTCATGCAACCTGTGGGTGTGGGTGTATTGCAGATCAAGCTCATTCAGAGTCCTTCTTGCTCAAAGTGGTGTCTTGCCATGTCAGGTCACTGGGATGAGCCCAGAGCCAGTGGGACTGAGTGGAAACACTAAGCGATTTCCATTACTTTCTGGAAATTAGCTGTGATTTTCCCTCACTGCATGTCGTTTCATGTTTTCACTGCATGAAGTTTAGAAGAGCAGGTACATTCTCAGGACCCAGAGGACAACTCTGTCTCATCTGTGACTCAGTGGTCAATGAAAGGGAGAAGGATTGTGGGAGAACAGCATTTATGGAGCACTTGCTGTATCACAGAGTTCCTGCGGGCCCCTCACATATATTACATTAACATCAGGTTAGTTGTATGGGTGTGAGGAGTTAAAGTTATTAAGGGTTAATGGATTTTAGTGATTATTACAGTGTTATTAAGTGCATGAGAACCTTATGAGCTGAGCACTTCTCCTTTCATAGATGATAAACTGATATCATGTAATGGGGAAGGTTAAACTTGGAATTAACCTGGCTTTGTGTCACCCTCAAGGCTGTGTTCTTCACACTGCAGATTTCCATCCTCCGTATTTTATTTTAGGAGAATTTAAGGTCGATTGAGTTTCTGTCCTACATTACACATTCCTCACACTGTATCTCATTTAAACACCACCATGCTCCAGGTGAGGGGCTTTGTCCAGTTTACAGGGAGTAAAGAAACAGGGCCACAGAAAGGTTGTCCACGACCCAGGACAAGAGCACATAGGTCATACACTGCTCATTCACTGAGGCCAGATGCATCAGAACAGCTGTGGGTATTTAAAAAAATATAAACAATTATATCAACTTTTTAAAGACTGTGTAATTATTACAGAATCAGAACCAGAACCAGAACCAGAACCAGAACCAGAACCAGGTCTTTTCTGTTTTCTTGCATCATCTAGGACACATTAAAGGTCATGGCAACTTGGAATGAGACTTCAAACTCAGCCCCACTCAGCCATGCCATGGCTTGGGGCATCAGGACACTTCATTTCCCACAGTTCTGCTATCTGTTTCTATCTGGCATGGAGCTTTCTTTAATTTGGAATAACTGGAAGCAGCTGAGGACAAAGCCACATGTGTCAGCTCAGCCCCTGGAATGACAGCCCCAGGAGAACAGAGAAGGCCCCTTTATCTGTATGAAGCAGAGAGGATTAACACCAAATCTGGAGCCCAATGTGGCTGGATTCCCTATATCTACACTGAGGCAGAACCTGACATCTCCCTTCTGGGGAAACTGATATCTCTTTTCTACAGGAAAGAAGAAGAAGATACAGATCATGTCACAAAATCAGGCAGGAAATAAACCAAGAGCAAGGTACAAAGCCAGAGAGCGCAGTTCCACATAATTGACTGTGGAGGTCTGGACACCCTGCAGCCCCATGTGTAAGGGTGAGTGCCCACAGCACCCACCTCAGGAGGTCTCACAGTTAAGTCCAGGGCCACAGAGAAAGCTTCAGTACACATCAGAGGATAGTGTCATGATCTGACCCAGTCCCCACGGGAACCCAGACAGCCCTTCTCACAGGCCACACTTCTTTGTCTCTGTGGAGTTGCCAGTGGGGACAAGCTGGGAATCCTACTTAAATCCTTCTGCAGCAAGATAGGGACTTCTGGAAAAGAGCTGTGTGGTAGCCAAGAAGGACAGAGCATGAATTGCAGATGCTCAAGTCATTTTAGCTTTTTCAGTTCCCCCAGGTGATGCTGAGGAGGAGAAGTGAGTCTGTAAAGGATTCCCATGGGAGGCTAAGCCACCTCCCAGTCTTTCTGCTGGCCTCTGAGAAGGGAAGGGGGAAGGGGAGGACCTACTGGAAAGACACACAGGAACAGAAAGGTGGTCTTTGTGGCTGCAGCCTGCTCGAGATGCTAGCAAGCTTGGCAAGATGCAGAGGAAGGGCTGGGAAAGGCCTTTGCAGAGAGCACATTTGTGGTGACAGAAAGAGGGTTGTACTGTGTTATGGCTTGTGTCTAAATGTCCTGCCAAAGTCTCCTAAGGTCACAGGTGGGGCTTTCTTAAAGGTGGCTGTATCTAGTGTGTGTAAGGCTGGAACTGATTCATGGTGCAATGCCAGCTTCAAAGGCAAGGATTAAGGGCATGAGTGCTGTCCCTGCCCTAGGGTGGGTAGCTTTCATACAACATCAGGGAAGGAAAGAGTCTTGTCTTCCCCCCTTGCTTGCTTTTGCTGTCTTCTGCCTGCCATGAACTGATCTCCTCTGTGAAGCCACCCACTCTCGAAGCTAGCGGATTATGGACTAAAACATCTAGAATCTGTGAGCTAAATAAACTTTTTCCCCTTTAACTTCGGGTGTTGGGTATTTTGTCTCAGTAATGAGAGAAAAATAACTAATATGTCCTCCCTGCAGTAAGAGGACAGTAACAGCTGTTGACCTTGCTCCAAGCTGAGCTGGAGGCCACAGCAAGGCTAGGAAGTGGGCTGCCCAGCCACTGGGTGGGTATAGCCCCCGTTTGCGTCTTGCATGTGGAGGAAGCCAAGATTACTAACATGTGCTGGGAGACTCATTGCAGGAAGGTGCCCTGAAGCCGGCATTAATGATGTGAACCCTTTTTCCCAATGAATATTTATAAGCAGCCCCTGCTCAAGTCTACTTATCACATCTCCTCTCTCTTTTTTATAGGAGGTTTTCAATTTTCTGTCTGAGGCTTTTTAAGTAACACTAATTAATGTTTTTTCTTTTCCTTTCCCTCCTTTATTCAGTTGTCTAAGGGCAACAGCTGTTGTTTTCTTGTCCTTCCTTTGGCACTCAAGTAAAAAAAGCAACTTTTGTTTATCATAATACCAGATGTGAATGAAATTAAAAGCTCTCTATAACAGAGAAGGGAGGACAAGTCCTCAATGTACAGATACGTTGTTCTCATTCACTGGAAGGTTTGACATTTTCCCAAAAGTATGAAATCTTGAAAGGTTTCAAGTTGCTGAGGTGAATTCAAAGAAGCTCTTGCTTTAGAAGATAATGGTGCTTTATTCAACATGCCAGACTATGAGTTTTGAAAGGAGGCATTTCCACAAGGACACTCCTTCCATTTCGGGCCTGGGTGGACAGAGAACTTGAACAAAGGGCCTGGCTGAGGAAGAAACTTCCTGGGGAGTTTGTTAGTAAGCAGCCACATGTCACTCCATTGAAAGGTATGGTTTGAGAAGGGAGAGAAAGAAGGATAAAGGTAAATGATGGTCAGGATGTTAAACAGAAATTGCAGCAAAAGAAAACAGGGGAATAGGTCTAAGCAGAGTTGGAGAGGTTTTATAAAAGGAACTGGGAGAAGTCAGTAAGAAGTAGGGGACAGGCGCAGGCGGAAAGTGTTCATGTGAGGCGAGACTGGGCAGAAGGAGGAAGCTTGCTGGGCACCGGGCTTCCCTAGTTGGCTTTGCCAGATCTGGCTTCTGTGTTCAGAAGGTGGCAGGCGACCTGCTTACACAGGATGCTTCCCTCTTCCCAAGGTTAAGAGAGAGTAGACCACTGTCCAGACATACCCGTGGGCAGCTGCTGATGGACACACACTGCTTCCTGTGACACTCCGTCTTGCCAGTCACACAGGCACAGATGGTGCAGTTGGCTGAGGACCACACCTCGCCCTCCTGTGGGACAGAGCACAAGGTTCTGTGGGAGCTGGGCCAGAGGGTGGGACTGCTCTGTTGGGAATGAATATCTCACCCTGAGCCAGGAAAGGCATCTTTAGGTATAATGTGTCTGAGCTGTCACCTATGGAAGCTGTAACCACAATATATGGGGACTGTTTTAAATTTTCAAAACTTGATGACAGTAGAAGCTACTTTGCCATGAATTTCCCTTAAAATTCTCCTTGTCAATTCCAACACACTTATCCCATCAATTGTGCCCATTTCTGAAGCAGTTCTGGAAGTCCTCTTTCCTAAGTGTCTTTAGGAGATAATGATAAAAATAACACAAAAATACAGTGAATGCTGCTGCTGAGTGCCACCCAGTGGAAAGGCAGGCTTATAAAACATGGTCTATCCTCATCCACCTCATTCATCACTTCTGGCATCACGCAACTTCTGGCTCTTCCCCAAAATCTAAATGAGCAGAAGAGGTTAATATTCTGAATGGATTTAGCACATCTAGCCAGAGACAACAGAGCAGTTGAGACATTTAGAAAAGAGGACCTCCAGGACTGCTTCAGAAAGGAATCAGGGTGATGATATGAATGCACTTACAGTGAGGACAGTATTTTGAAAGGAATTCCTGGGAATGTGTCTTTTACTGCAGTAATTTTTTTCTTTTTTGCTTAAATATTTCCTATATTTTTATCATACCTCAAATTTATCAATTAAAGATGAGAGAGGATTTCATGGTGAATGTGTGCTATCCCTTCAGGATATAAACGAATTCCTACAAAACTAACCAGGTCATATTTGCACCTTCCTTCTTATGTACTGTATGACTGCAAGTACGAATTTTCATACATGATACAATAACAACATTCCAATTTCCCTCTGTTTAACTGGACTGAAATGGTTGTTATATCAGGCATTTGAAGTTAGCTTGGATGGCCAGAGGCAGTTGATTTGTTCTCACATATGCCACAGTTCTGGACAGGAAAAGGGGGCATATAACAGTGTAGAGCCCAGACAGAAGATGCCACCAGCCATACACAGCTCGTCCCTGCCTGGCTGGCACCTTCATCCCACAATGCAGAGCAGCAAGTGGTTACACATGTCCTTGCTCACACAGAAAGAGCCACTTGAAGAATTTCTTTGGCTGGTTGGCAACTGTCCAGTGTCCAGTGTCCAGAAAGGACAGAATAGATATGAAATCCATGTTTGTGATTCAAGAAGATCACAGGCCATAGAATTGGGCCTAGACACAATGAAGGATCGTTTCTGGATTCAGAAAAACAAGCCTCAATCTTTGTTGGCTCCACCTCCTTCTCTTTAATTCTGAAGCTATTTTAAAGACTGCCTATTTTCCAGTGCCTTTCAAATGAAAAAGACCCGACTCAGTTGAATTTAAAGGCCATCTTTCTGCAGACTCAGTGTCTTTGTCAGTTATTTCAGGCTGCAGTCACCTGCAGGAACACACTTACAGGGAAATTTGAAAGTGCTTTGCATAAAACCCCATCATGAGAGGGGTCTACTTCATCTTGGTGCTTTACTTTGTGGTAAAGGATGACTTTGTGTACAGGACAATGAGTGGGCCTGAAAGCCAGTGTAAACACAACACACACGGCCTTCTGTCTGCGAAACATATCATGGCTTCTCAGAGTCCCTAAGAACCAAGGCCTCTCTTTTAGCTATGTCAGTGATATTCTACAACAAAGCCCAGAAACTAACTCTAGAGTGTAGTGGCCACTGCACAGGTTCCCACTGTGACCATTGGGAAATGCTGAGAATCACACTTACATGATCAGATGCTATCACCTTAAACCTGTCCCTTTAGCTGGGACAGGATTCTCTCACCACTGTGGACTACCATGCTAGCCACACACACTATGACAGACCTCACTTGAGCACTGTCTGGAGCAGAAAGTTCCTCTTGGGAAAAGGACTTTATGAAAAGCTTCTAAATGTAGCAAGCTCAGGATCATCATGGTTATCTTGGCAAGGGGTTCTGAGCAGCCCCACCTGAATGAGATACTCCTGCGGTGGGAGCCCACAATCACAGCACTCATGGGGACAGGCAACAGTGCAGTGCAGATACAGATATTCTACCAGCAATGAAGCCAAAGGAAAACACTTTTCAAGTGGTTGCCTCTCTATCCCATATGCCCTTACTTGATTCTAAATGTATACGAATGTGTATTGTATACCACAATACACACAAACACATTAGATACACACAAATAGATGCATGCACATATAGATTGTGAAATGTTCCAACTTGCATTACCCCAGAGCTGTTTAATAGGCAGAACAGGGCAACAGTGCTCATAAGTTTGACCTCTGACATACCTGGAAAATCTTGTTGCCAAACTTGCACACGCTGACAGCTTTTGAGGGCACTTGCAGGAGGCACTGCTCACAACAGGCCTCCTTGGCTCTGTCACAGCTACCAGGGCGGGAACACTTCTTCTTACACTCCACAGTAGAATCCTGGGGCCCAAAGGTAAATGGGAAATTAAAGATGATTTTCCCCAGGTAGACCAGACATCGTATCTGGATTTTGTTCAATGATACACATGTAACTTTTCTGAAATTTATCCTGCAGGTGCTATATTTTAATACTTGCAATAAAAAATTTTCTCTCTTAAAAATGCTACCTACAGCTTAGCATCTGGAGTAGAGTATGAGGCATTTTAGTGTCTGAGGACAGCAGGCACACATTCTCCACCTTCCAATGACTTACAGCTCCACACCCAAGAGACCAGTCGACTCCAGGTAGCAAGTGGCAAGGAAGCCCCACTCATTGCAGATCAAAATGTTTCCTTCTTCGTCCCTTTCTCCTTCCCTACATTCTTCACTCTTTAACAGAGTATTCTTAGGTCTCTTCCTTGGTTTTATGCCACCCCTGAGGGTTTCATGGAAATCCAGACATCTTTGATCAAAGAGCATTAATTCAGAGCTAGCACATCACCCCAGGTGACATTTCCCATGTGTGTGTTGTGTCTGCAAAGGACACAGTCAGCAGTTCCAAAACTGGGCCTGGATTCTAGAGCTTTTCTGTGAAAGACGTGACACTGACCCAGCATTTATCCTCCAGGGAATGGTGGCTGGATCTGTTACTTAAGGTGTTTGCTGTTACTTGGCCTATCAGCTCTCTGGTTCACTGTGCATTTCAAATGTAATGTAGATGGCACATAGAAATTATTAAAAGTAAACTCATAAATTACAAAAATATAATCCATTCTCGAGCTGCATGTCTTGATGTCTAGTTTGAACAACAGGCACTTGCTAACTTTGGAAGAACATGTCTATCACTATAGCTCTCCTGGTTGGTCTTTATCTACATGCCTCCCTTTCCCTCTCTAGCCCTTTAGCTACCAAAAACAAAACAACAGCAGCTATCACCAACATAATAAGTTACTTTAAAATTGGGTCCCCATATGTTTGAGTTAACTCACTAACGAAGTCCCAAAGCCCTCCATGGTAAATGTTTCTCTTACTGATCTCACATATAATTCATGGCATGAGGACATCTATGAAAATAGGATGTGTGTCCCTCTGAATCTCTGGGGCTTACACTGCCAGCTGCCTTTGGAATAAAACAAACCATTGCTCCAAGAAGACATGGGACAATAAGCAACACATAAACACTCAATTCCCAAACTGTCAGGCTCAGCCTAACCCATAAATCCATGTCTGTCTTCTCCTCTGAGTGTGTTAAAGCCATTGTAACTTCCGGTGTGTTTGGAGCCAGGAAACATGACCACGTGTCTGTGTCTGGCTCAGGGAATCCTTGGGACAATTTTCAGTGTGTGGCTTTGTTATGCTTTGTGTCTAGAGGGTCCCCTCAAACCACATGCATTCATACATACGGCTTTTTCCGAGATGGTTGAATCTAGAGTGTATGATGCTAGCATTAAGGGTACGTAATTAGTAAATCGCTGATTGGTTTGGCATACTTCTAGCTAGGATTAAAGGTGTGAGTGCTACACTAGCCTGAGGGTGGGTAGCCTACACACAATGTGAGGGACATGAAGAGTTTCTATCTTGTGGGTGCCTTGTCTGTGATGGCCAAGCCAACCTGCTCTGGACCCAGCTGATTCTGGATTGAAACCTCTATAAACCATGCTTTTCCTCCAAGAAGACGTTGCTCCTTTAACTTCAGGTGTTGGGTATTTTGTCTCAGCAATGAGAAAAGTAACATAGGCTCTCCCCAGGCAGACACAACTTGTGGGCCTCCAGAGGATAATCTGATGATCAGCTAAATGCTGCAGACGGATTTCTTGGTGACCTCGTGTGACTTCACCTGTGAAGAGACCCACTGATGCCTTTGACTGATAAATAAACAGCATTGCTGCTGCCTAATAACTCCCCTGTTGGTGACATGTATGCCACAGTCCCTCTGCACCACCTCACCTTGCAGGTACACGTTGTGCAGTTGTCATAGAGAAATGAAGACCCATCGTCATACACGTCACTGCGAAAGAGGCAGCTCCCAAAAGGCAGGTCAAACACTTTCCTCTGACCTGGAGGGAAGCAACAGCATAGCATGAGAGAGATGGAAGCCAGTGGTGTCAAATTCTGTCATCAGCAATTACAGTGCAGGATGTTAAGCCACCTCCCAAGAGCAGGTGCGTCTGATGCACAAAGAGAGAGTCTTGGGCCAGATGTGCCAGGAGATCCTCAGGGATCATTAATTTACAGAGTCACTGTTCAAAAGAGTTTGATTCCACCATTAACCTGTAAGTTAAACAAATCATGATGTCTCGGACATAAGGGTCTACGCTCAGGGTTCACCGTGCAGATAAACCCACAGAGGTCATTTAAACAATGACATGCTAAGTTCTGGGAAGAAACCAACATGGAAGTTTGGGGACAGGAAAGTCCCAGAAGACTTCTAGAGGCTGGGATACCTGAGCTGCACTAAACACTAGTCTAATCATCCCCAAAAGTGAGCAGGAGTGGGAGGACAGGTGGAGATAGGAGGAATCAAGAAACCTCAAGGACTAAAATGAATACAAGGAACTAAGGAAACACCATCTGTGATGGTCTAGATATCTGTGTTACCACAAATCTCCTATGCTGAAACCTAATCATCAGTGTGACAGTACTAGGAGATGGGGCCTTGGAGAGATGGTTAGGTCAGGAGGTGTTGGTGCTTGTCTTAGTTGTTTTTCTTGTTACTGAGACAAAATAACTGACAGCTGAAGTTAAAGAAGAAAGGTTTATCTGGCTTACAGTTTATAGAAGTTTCTTCCATACTGGGCTGGCTCTGAGGCAGGGTGGCATGGCAGAGAGGCCACAGAGAGGAAAAACATTCATGGCAGACAGAAGGTAACAAAGCAAGGGAGCGGGGACCTTAGCAACATTTTTCTTCCCTCTTTATTCTCATTGGGATTAGGATGGTGCCCATCCAATTAGTGCACTGATTTAGTAATCATCCACTCTTAACCCCAGCATCACACACTCTGCAATTCAGCCACCTCAGAGAAAGTTCCATCTATGACTGCATTAGGCTTTGGGAGACATCTAGACACAAATCCTAACAGTGCTTTCACCAAAGAAGCCAGAGACAGAGCCCTGGTCCCTTTGGTCATGTGAAGTCACAGCAAGAAGATGCCATCTATGAGCTAGAAAGTAGATCTTCACCAAACAGAATCTACAAACACTCTGATCTTGGACTTCTCACCTACAGAACTGTGAGAAACTTATTTATGCAGTTTAAAAGCTACCCAGTTATGTTATTTCATTAAAGCTCACTGAATAGATTCACACAGAAATTGCATAAAGGCTAGCACTCTGAGAGGCTAAAGGAGGATTGCAGGTTTGAGTCCAGCCTAACCCACTTAGTGACTTAGTGCAACTTTCCACCAAAATAAAAAATAAAAAATAAAACAAGGACGGAGAGGTAGCTGACTGCAAAGGCTCTGAGTTCAGTACCTAGCACTGAAAATGAAACAAAACAAAACAAAACATAAAGACATAAAGGGCAAAGCTAACTCAGGTGGCACAGAGGCCAAATCCAACTCCACATGCCAAGTGTCCAACCTTTTACAGGCAGAATATCCCTGTAGAATTACCTCAGTTTCTCATTACAAGAATTGGACTGGCAATTAGAAAGACCAAGAAAGCAAAACTCAAACACAGAGCAAAATCCAATCCATTTCTTTCTTTCAAGTCTGAGTTTCTACTCCCTGAAGCACATCAAGTCATCTCTAGAGCATTAATTTAATTAAAGACTAAGTTAAGAAACCAGTGATTCATCTTCAGTGATCATATTTAATCCATATTTAATTCACTTCTTTCTTCCTGAAAAAAAGATTAATGGCAATCTTGATTTATCAGCAAACTCAATGAAATGCTGGAAATATTTATAAATACATACTAAGTGCTCTTCTTGGAATCAGAGTTATTGGAAATACCATTAGTAAGAGTCAAGGAAAAATATTATCTTCTTATCAGAGTCAGCTTGCAGTTCAAAACACAGCGGAGATACAGAACGGAATCATTAGTTTGGCTCTCATCTTGGAGTATAAACTGCCCTCAAAAAGGGACACTGGGTTGTAATGTGAATTACTTTGTTACCTGGGTAAGATTTCTCTGCACCTTGTTAACTTTACTCATAAAATAGCATCAATAGAGTCAGTGTGTCACATCAGCACTCCTATTGGCAACATTAATATTAACTTCCATAACGAAAAACTCTTTGGTAGTAAAATCATTTACAATACAATTATTAATATTCCAACCAACAAAGGCAATTTGTATTTTCAAAATATATAGTGAGTGCTTATGTTTTAAAAATTTTATTACAATAAAAGACACATAGCCATTAACCCCCCTCAAAATCACTATCGCCTCCCTTGTTTTGAACACACTTAGCCCATTGCCCTTGTCACTTTCTGAAGAAATTCTGGAACTTCTCTTTTGTGAATGTCTTTACAAAGTGTGATCAAAACTACCATGAACGCTGCTACCAAATGCCATCCAACAGAAAAGACAGCTAAAAACATGACAGGGTGTCATCACCCACCTAGTCACCAGAACTGGCATCCTGAAACTTCTAACTTTTTCCTCAGGTCAAAATGACCATGAAATAAAAATATTTTGAATTAATTCAGGAAACCATGATAACTCAGCTAAAGACACACATGAAAGATGACATCCTCTGCTGCTTCAGAAAGTTGCAAACATGATTGGATAAGTGTGTTTGAAGCACTTGGTTAAGTGTGTTTAAAGGAGAGCATTTGAGGGGGATTGATGGTAGTGTGTTCTTTACTATAATAGATTTTTTAAGTTTAAAAATTTACCACTCTTTTCAATCACACCAAATATTGTATGTACACATCAGTCCTGAGTCTCTTGAACTTCCTGAAAGCTTACAGACTAAATAAGAGAATAAATTTCAAAATATAAAATCACCTTTCCCCTTAACATTCCTCTAGGGAACTCTCCTAAGGTTTCTCTAAAGTATTACAAAGTTGAGTGCAGCCCAAATCAGATGGATTTATTTGGCCCATCCCATTATAATCACTACTGCAAATCTTAGAATAGTTACTGCAAATGTCTTAACAACATCTTGGTTTCAAGACATTATATGCTTACAATAATCCTAAGTAGTTCTTCCTTTTATTTACCACAAAAAATGGGAGCGAAGTAATGTTTCTTTACAAATTTAAACATTTTCTTTTTTAAAACATTATTTTCTTTTATAAATCTATCTGAGATATATTTCTTTCTTGTAAGAAGTAAACAGTTCTGTTTCAGTTAAGTAATTTCCTTACTTATGATCACCTGGTTTGTTTTTTTCGTGAAGATATTTTATAAGTACCTCAATTCTTTTTAAGAAAAATACAGGAGACAAATCTATACAAAGTTCTACATGAAAACTTTCATCTCTACCAATCAAAATACATCTCTTTCACGGCTGAGGTCTGCATTTTCTCTTCAGAAGCCTTTCATTTGTAGGCAGAATGACTCTTTCCTCTCTTCTCACAGCCAGGTCTTGTACCATCATCATCACCAAATTCAGTATTTTGCACAGGTGGACAGTTAGTTAAATGAATGGATGGATGAATGGTTGATGGATTGATGAATGGAATCACAGATTAGTTGATCATTGAAAGGACTCGACATTTTAATTCCCATAAACAAATGTGACAAATGGCTTAACTTATGCCTTGCCAAACCACTTTTATCTAAAATGATAGCTATAAAGTTCTTGAAGCAGTGCTCAGTACTCATCAACACCGCCTATGTGTGGCAGGTGGGGACCATTATCATTATTAATGCTGACAGTATGGTCCCTGGCTGAGCCTCACTGGGAAGGGTGCTGGGTGCTGCTCTGTGTGCACTGAGCTCTGATGATACTCTCCTTAGGAAATGAGGAAAGAACGGCAAGGAATTTATAATACAAAAGGCTAGGGTATGTTATGGGAAGGGAATTTAAAAGGAAATTTAAAAGCAAATCAGTGCCCCATCACACAAAAGTCTGACTATATTTCAGCATCTAAAAACCATCCTGGTGTTTTCTCTTTCTGTTTGTCTTGTTATGTGCATATATTTCTTTTTGTGACCAAAGAACACAAAATCTTATCTTATCCAAAGTCATCACAGCCCACTTTAAGACAAAATGCTCAAGGGAGTGGCTCCAAGCCTGGGAGGACAGCCTGAATTAAGCCACTTGTGCATCATTCCACTGCAGTTTAGCCAGACCAAAAAAAAGTCTCACTTGGGGGAATTACGGTTTCAAAGTTTACCAAAACTTAATCTTCCTTTTGTAATTTGCCTTATGCCACAAATGATCAGAAAAATCTGCACTCAACACAATGACGATTGCTCAAGTGAGACACTTCTAGACAGACTCATCACGCCCATGGGATTGGCTTTAAAGCATTAATCAAGACTGCCTATCCTTGGGACCAGGTCCAAATGCCTTGCCCTGTGACGGCTGCCCTGGAAGAGGAAGTACTGCATCCCCAAGTCTCACGGCATCTCTGCCACACTGAATGGACTCATCTCTCTTCAGGGCCACAAATGCACATGGGTGATCTATTTTAATTATTTCGTATTTATTTACAGTGTGTACGTGTGTGTGTGTGCACACATGCACATATGCACACACAAATATATGTATCACAGGAAAGCCAGCATTGTTAGATGAAAATACAATAGAAGATGGGTATGGTGGTGGGTGTCTATAATCTCAGGACTTAGGAAACTGAGGTAGGAGGATTGCTGAAATTCAAGGTCAGTCTAGGTTCTCCAGTTCAAGGCCAGCCTGAATTATAAAGCAAGAGCTTGTCTCAAAATAAATAAATAAATAAATAAATAAACAGCATAATACAAAGAAAACAAAACATTAGAATCTCTCAGGAGAAAATTGTGATAATTTAACAAAATGCCTTCACTTGCAAAATCTTGTTGTAAAAAGAAAATGGACTTCAGAATCTGGCTATAAGAACCTTGTAGATGAGAAAAGTGAATCAACAAGAAGTTTTGTAGGTGGAGAAAGCAAACTGTGAGAGAGGAGAAAAGATGCAAGGGAGGTGTGAATTCTAGCAGACAGGAGCTAGAGGCCAAGGAGAAGAAGACAGTGAGAGTCCCAAGGCAGAGTAACTGAGCCCTTGGGAAAACAGGGAGCTCAGCGCTCCACTGAACAGTGCTGGCTGTGCTTCTCCATGACATAACTCCCCTCCTTGGCTGCAGGAAATCTGCTGAACAAGCCTTGATGAAAGGCACAATAGGACGCAGAAAGACTGGAGGTGTGGGAGGTGTCTGGTGGGACAAAATGATGTTTCACAACAACAAAATAGAGATAAGAGAGACAGCAACTGCAAAGCATGAAGCTGAGAGAGATTAAATACTCTAATCAGTCCCCAAGGACTCTCAGACATTCAGGGGACCCTTCCTCCTGCCACAATAAAACTGATAACAGCACCTCTCTACACACAGGAGTCCTGTTTGTAGTGTATCTCACAGCTTTTTGAAAAGACTGCATGAGAAAAAGCACATACAGTGTGCCGTTTGGTGCCCGGTACACAGTTCATGTTCAGAAAAAGTATGCACACTCTCTTCCTGTTGTTACTTGTTTCCTTTCAAGCCTCTCCTTCACTGCATGTTATCTGCCTGTACCCTTTGCCCCTGCAGGTAACCTGAGTCTGCATCTTTCCACACCATCATTTCCAAAGCCTCTAACAAATGTGCCACTAACAGCCTTAAATTGACTACAGAAGGTGTCTTCATCCCTGCTTCCCTTGCAAGACAGTACCCTGTGTCACCTGGCATCCCAGATTCCAGACAAGGGCAGACAAGAGAAGAAGCCACACTCTGTTCACACCTTGTGCTCCCCTGATTTGAGGAGCAGGTGTCTCTAGCAAGCCAGGAACCAGGGCCACTTCAGAACCCCAGGGAGCAGTGTGCATACACACTCTCCACAGAAACTCCTGGAAGAAATTAATTATTCTTTGACCTGAAAATAGTCACTCACCCAAACATTTGGGGCAGCACTGTCCTGGGGGAGTGTGACTAAGGTGCTGGGGACAAGAGAGAATGGGACAGACTTCTCTCACGCACTGTGTCCTGCCTCCCTAAGAAAAGAGAGAGAAAAAAGGCACATTTAGAAAAGTCAGTGCTTACAGGTTGCACAACCGAGACATCCAGAACAGATCTAGGCCCTTCCCTAGGATCCTGGGAATCTCTGTATTCTTGGGTGCCTGAAGTGACTGCCCAGGTCCTTATGATTCCCTGAAGCAGCCTTTGACCTTCCGTGTGGCCCCTGTAAACAGACAGCCTCCCAAGAGTCATCACAGACAGGGTCACCTCCCCTCAGCTGCCATCTCCTGCCTTTATCTTGTTCCTTTCCAGACTTGCTTTGGAGTAGATAGATGTAGAGTAACCAGCTTCTCTTCTTTACCAGGACTTGAGGCTTCCAGTCCTAACACTAGGAAAGTTTTATGTAAACCAGGATGAGTGGGTCACCTCCACAGGGCCTGCCTCTCTCCACTCCAACTCATGCACACAAAAGAACCCTCTGTGTTTCATGAGGCTTTTCCTCCTTTTACCACTCCCATCTCCATGTAGCTCCTGCAGACAGCCTCCTCCAGGAGGGCCCCACACTGCACAGGTGGCAAGTGTCCCTGGGATGGCCTAATGGTGCCCCAGCCAGTGGAAGTGTCCAATCTGCGGAAAGTGGAAGCTCTGAAAGCCATGTTCACGAGAACCCTTCCCCTGGCTTCAGCAAGCTGACCACACCTGCTTCCATCAGTTAGCACAGGCCCTGATGATTGATTTGGAAAAACTAATTGATTTGGTCCTGAGGGAGAAGTTTTGGAGCCTTTGACTATCTTCCCCACTTTCTCTCCCTCACTCTTCACCCTCTCTTTCCCCACACTCTCTGGTTCCCCCTCCCCTTCCTGAACCACGCACCCTTTTTCCCCTGCCCATCACCACCTCTCCTCTCTGGAATGCACAGATGCAGATGCCCCTCGCCCTCCTCACCAGGGGCACCTGCTCTGCAGCCTCAGTGAGCTGGAAATGCCTACTTGGGAAGCTGGGCGGATGAAAAAGGAAAAAGGAAAGCACTTTCCCGTCCATTTGCATCCAACCAATTTGCCCTTGCAACATGGATCCTGAAAACTCTTGCTTGCAGAGTGAATTGCTGTGAACTTTATAAATAAAGGCTTTGTTTTTTTTTTTTTTTTTTTTTTAGAAAATCAGTGAATTTGGTAAATAGATTGCTAGGCAATTCCAGTGGGTTGACTTCTCTAGGATTAGAGATACAACCTAAAAATTGGGCTTTTGGGTCCTTTTTGACGGCAGCACATAATGTATATTTCAAGGGGTTGGAAGGTAAAGAACTCAAGGCTCAAAAGACCCTGGGCCAGAAGAGCAAATTCACATCCAGGCATTTCTAAAACCAAAAGAAAACCTCAGGCCTTTACCTCACACAGTCACCTGCGTTTTCTGCAGGAACAGTAGACATCAGCCTTGGCCTTCAAGATGTACAGGTTCCCACCCACCCTCGTATCTGTAGCCTCCCCATGCCTCAGCATTCCCTTCCTGTTCTCACCATTTTTATTACAAAAGTTTACTTTTGGTGAGGAAGAATGAAAAAGAGAGCAGGTTCCACACCCTTTTAAATAGTTGTCATTTTTAGGACTCTTCAATGTTGAATTCTTCCCAAATCAATAGAGAACAACTGAAAATACCAACAGCTCCTCTGTTGTTTTTAGGTTATTTCCAGGTCAGTATAAATCAGTTAAAAATCCCCCCACCAGGTTTTTTTGAGAGTTCTCACTCAGTTCTACATAATATTAAAGTGGGAGTCCATCCTAGACTCAGAGTGGGGTAACTGAGTCTGTGCCAATCCCTGAAGTCAGGCTCAGCTTATACACAAAACAAAAAAATCCTATCTGAGGAATGACAGGGCAATGCTGACCTTGGCTATTCATTTCAGATATTCCTCTGCAAACACTCTACAGCCCAAGCCACATAAGGTAGCTGTCTGCTGGATCCTCTCAGGCACACAGAAAACACACTCGTATCATTGATGTTCTCTGTTCCTGCTGGATCTTCATCCATTTTCCAACCATATTTCAAAATTTAAAAATTTAAAAACACTAGGTAGTTGCAAAAGAGTTAGCTTGTTAATATTTTGGAAAGCTGGCAAAAGATTATGAATACAACAGTAATTTTCTTTACCTTTAGGTCAAAGGGCAAACTTTGCACACACAATACAACTGCAGTTTGTGCTTCACAAGAGTCCATTAAAGTAACTTGAACTCTGGTCTGAGTTTGCTGGTTGAGTCAAATTTTATTTTGTTTGAGTTGCAGTACTGTAGCACAGCCCAAATCCTAAGGCCACATTCCAATTAATGCTTCCAGAGAAAGTTTAAGACCTTCCTAGTAACATAGCTGTAGCGCATGACCTGCTTCTGTGAGTCCAACTCAGCAGGGTTAAGCTACAATCTGGGAACTTTGGTAAACTAAGAAAGTTGAAATAGCAGAAGCAAGCATTGCTGTTTCTAAAAATGAGCAAATTTCTTCTGCCACCACTATAGATTGTCACAACAGCACTGATGGCTTCCCAGTCTCAACTCTTGCAAGGTTTCAGGTATCTGGGACTCCTTTCTCGCACCCATGTGCCATCTCATTATTCTGTCAAATATGGCTGAAAATCTATTACAAATGTGATGAGGATCTGATCGCGAATAAAAAGCATGAAAATCATTCTCTCTAAGGTACTTTCATCAGCAGTAAACTTGTCCCCACCCTTCCTGAGTTTGAGGATAACTCTCACTGCTTTTGGGATAAAATTCAACCCAACTGGACTAAAAGTCAGTTCAGAAGTCAGTCCTGGCCACAGTATTTCCTGTTTTCCTTCAATAGTGCTATGTTACATTTCCCAGAATGCTTTGTGTGTGGGCATGGCTATCTGCCTCAGTTCTGACCATTAGAAACAAGATGGGAACAGTATCACATGCTCACAGGATGATCTGTGAAATTCTTCACACACAACCTTCATGCTCCACTTTTTCTCTCTACTGGATGGAGAGCTAGCTGAATGGAGTGGACACTGAGCCAGGTTTCCCGGATCACCCAGGGAACTGTAGCCCCCAGTCAGATGAGCAAAAAATAAACTCTACTGTGTTACTGGGGTGCATCGGTTCTTTATTAGCCTACTTTTTCAAGACATCCTAGAGCCTTCTCTTCAGAATCCCCCCACTCCAATATAAGAAAAGACTACAGTGTCTCTTACTTCTTTATCGTCCCCAAACACGTCTCATACCTTTTATCCTCTTATATCCACTTCTTTCCCTCTGTCTTCCATCACTGACCCCTATCAAGACCCTGATTCATTCAAAGGAGGTTCCAGTTTCTTCTGCCAAGTAAAACCTTCCAAAGCCTGCACTTCCCAGGAATCTCCTCCCCTTCTCATAGCTTCTCCTTCCTCATCTAGGCCCTTGTATGTTGAGCACAAATGTAATTTTTGATACATGCATAAAAGCTTAATATTGCAAGACTATATTAATTCTGCCCCCAAGCCACACTGTCTCTGGGGCAAGGGAAAGCCCTGTGTGCTGGGTGTCCTTCAGAAGGGAGAACCATTAATGCATGAAAGAAGGAGCCCTCCCTATAATGAACTCCAGAGTGCAGGTAGGGTGTGAGACCTCTTTAATACAGGAGGCTGAGGAGATGGCGTGGAACTGGGTGGCCTGCGTTCACATCTCTCTGTGTTTTACAAACTCACACTTGGCACATTTTGGATATTAACTAAATGTGGATACCCATGTGTCCAAAGCAGTATTTAAGCTCAACATGTAAAACAACTGCTACCAGCATAATAGAAAATCTAGGGTAATCTAGGGAGGCATTTAAATGGAATATTTAAATGTTTGGAAATGCCTAAATAGTTGAAATACTGAGGAATAAATGACTACTTTCATGTTAAGTTGATGGGGAAGAGAAAGGTAGAAACTTCTAGAGGACTTGTGTGTGTGCGTGATTTTCCTTAGAAAAGCAAGCTTGCTCTTTGAGATGGTCATTTTTTATAATTACACATTTAAGTCTTTGCTTGATTATAGCTGTTTTTTTAAAACACAGACCTGAAACTGGTCACAGGTCTATTTTCTGTTCCTCTAATTTTATTTTAGCTAGTTCAGTCAAGAACCCAATTGCTTTGTGTCCAAGTTCACCCTACAGCAGTAATTGTGCTGCACAATAACAATCTGTCTTCTTGAATATGGTGATGAGTGCGAGGTTAAAAAAAAAACACAGCCATGTGCGCGTGGGATGCTTTCCAGGTCCTGATGATCCGCTGGGAATGAGGGCTGTAAATGATCCTGCAGCATGCATTGATGCACTTATCTCTGATCAGGATGCAGAGCCCGATTCCCTAACCAGAGGCTGTTAGCAGAGTTGCTTAACAGTTAATAAAAATTCCCTCCAAGTATGATAGAATTCACTGTAACACAGTCAGCTAAATTCTACCATGGTTTGGAGATTTTTTTTTTCCTTTATTCAGTTTTGAAAAGATTGGAATTCACTGTTGATTCTGAAGTGGTGGTGGGAAGAAAGGAGAGAGAGACCAAGGGGTGGGTAGTGTAGCAAGGAAATGCATGTTGAGTAGGGAGGGTTCCATATGGTCCCTAAGCATTCACCACAACTATGGTACAAAGATGACTTGTGAGTCAGCAGCCTCTCTGAATCAGGAATTGGATTGAAAACTTCACAGAAGGGAATGGATGTCTTTAGCCATGCCTCTCTTGGGCCTGGAATTTTGTTCTGTTGAAGTTTCAGAGCATGGCACTTTCTTTCCCTATTCTTGGCCAATGCAGGATGTGAATCAAAGTGGAAAGGCTGCTGGCCAAGGCAGCAGAATTAGACAGGAGAGGAGTCTTCCCCCATAGCAAGCAGGTCATAAGCCCAGGTTATGCCAATGTCATGGTTTATGTCTGTGGCCCCCACGCCTCATGAATTTGCATTGTGCATCTGTGATTGGTTCACTGTCTTGCTCTTGGATTGATGGTGTCAGTGCTTCACCCACTGGGGTTGATCCAGGATGTGATGTAATGGCAGGAAGAAGGTG